ACCAAGATGCACTGTGGGCTGTAATGCATTCAAAGATGTGCCAAAATGTCAATCTTCCTCAGACCTTGGGACAGCCAGCGGTGCCTTCAGGGGACCCCCAGGCTAGTCTTCTTTGGCTGCCACCCTCTTGTTTATTCACAAAAATACTCTTACTTTCCAGCTGTCCTGCGACAGAGGGGCTGGGAAGCACTAATTGCCGCTGACGTTTCTGTGTACAGTCTGCAGTGCCATCTATGGGAGGCAGGCAAAAATGATACTGTTGTTCCCTATGGCAGATTTCTTTTTAATTTATGAAACTGTGTGAGTTAAAATATCCTAAGAATAGGGTGTTTCTGTACGACAGAGAATTTAGTGAACTTTTTTTACTAGTTGAGGATAACCTTTAATTACACAGAAAAAAATCAATGGTGTGAAACACAATTCTTTTTAAAAATTGCCAGATTAAAAAAAAAATTTGAACATGCTAATTCAGTTAGAGAGGATACACTTTTTAACACCACTGGGATGGCAAGATGTTTAAATATCTTGTTATATAACAAACTAGAGGCCCAGTGCATGAATTCGTGCACCAGTGGGGCCCCTCAGCTTGGCCTGTAGGATTGGGCCGAAACCAGTTCTCCGACATCCCCTGAGGGGTCCCGGATTGCGAGAGGGTGCAGGCCAGGTCGAGGGCCCCCACCAGTGTATGATTAAGGCTAGGGAGGAATGTGGGAGGTTGGCCAGCTGGGGAGGGACCGCGGGAGGGCTCGAGGGCGTATCTAGCCCATCTTGCTCAGTCCTTATTGGCCAGACCCCAGCAGCAAGATAACCTACTGGTAGGAGCATCTGCCCCCTGGTGGTCAGTGCACATTATAGTGAGCAATTGAGTGGCCTTAGCATATCATTAGCATATTATGCTTCGATTGGTTAACAGGACAACTGGACACTTAGCATATTAGGCTTTTATTATATACTAGAGGCCCGGTGCACAAAAATTTGTGCACTGGTGGTGGGGGGTGTCCTTCAGCCCCACTTGTGCCCTCTCACAGTCTGGGACCCCTCGGGAGATAACAACCTGCTGGCTTAGGCCCGCTCCTGGGTGGCAGAGGGCAGGCCCAATCCCTAGGTGCAGCCCCTGGTCGGGCTCGATTGGGGAGTTGGGGCGCCGCCCCCCGTCACGCACAGAGCAGGGCCCATCAGGGAGGCTGGGGCTCCGTACCCTGTCACACACAGAGCAGGGCCGATCAGGGGGTTGGGGAGCTCCCCCCTGTTATGCACAGAGTAGGGCCAATAGGGGAGTTGGGGCACCGCACCCTGTCACATACAGAGCAGGGCCGATCAGGGGGTTGGGGAGCTCCCCACTATCAGGCACAGAGCAGGGCTGATCAAGGGGTTGGGGTGCCTTCCCCTGTCACAAACAGAGCAGGGTGGATAGGGAGGTTGTGGCCCCGCCCCCTGTCACACACAGAGCCGCAGGGCCATCAAGGGGTTTGGGCGCTGCCCCCTGTCACGCTGCTCCAGGGGCCAGGAGGCCTCGCAGCTCTGCTGATCCCAGTGCTGGGAGGCCTCGCTGCTCCGCTTGACACCAGGGCAGTGAGGCCTCACTGCTCCGCTGATCCCAGTGCTGTGAGGCTCCGCTGATCCCAGTACCGGGAGGCCTCACAGCTCCACTAATGCCGGGGTGTGAGGCCTCACAGCTCCGCTGATCCCGGTGCTGAGAGGCATATTACCCTTTTACTATATAGGATAGAGGCCTAGTGCACAGGTGGGGGCCGGCTGGTTTGCCCTGAAGGGTGTCCCAGATCAGGGTGGGGGTCCCCACTGGGGTGCCTGGCTAGTCTGGGTGAGGGGCTGAGGGCTATTTTCAGGCTGGCAGGCGACTGAAGCTCCCAGCCTCTCCTTTTGTTCTTTTTTTTTTTATTATTCTGGGATTTATTTACCTTCTATAGCTGTCACTGGAGCTGAGAGCCAGCTTTAGCTCTGAGGCTCGGCTCCAGCTCTGAGACCTCGGCTGCTGAAAGCAGGTATCTGGGTTTGTTTGGCTTCTATAATTGTAACACTGTTGCGGTCTTGCTCGCTCCAGCTCTGATGGCTGAAAGCAGGTTTCTGGGGATTGTTTAGCTTCTATAATTGCAAAAATGTTTCTTAGACTTCAGCTCAGAGGCCGGCAGCGGCAGGCAGGGAACCTTGGCTTCCTCCATCACTGGAGCAAGCAAGCCTCCTGTTCGCTTCAGCTGCCTGGCTGCCAGCCGCCATCTTGGTTGGCAGTTAATTTGCATATCTTGCTGATCAGCCAATGGGAAGGGTAGCGAAGATATGGTTAATTACCATGTTTCTCTATTATTAGATTGGATGTCAAGGCACTGTTAGGGGAAGCTGGACTACAGAAGACAAAATCATGGGGAAATGATAAACCTCCTGAAATATTTGAAAGCTGTCCTCTGAAGAGTGCTAAAGATGTTGCTTCAGATGGCAGAACAAGGGCAAGTGATTGGATTTTGATACAGGGGTTATGCTTAAGCAGAGGAAGCTGGGAATTGTGGAAAAGGTATCCCCACCCTGAGAAGGAAGTTCAACTCCCTGTACTCTAAGCTTCCTCCCAACTCCAGATTCCACAACCTGTCATTCTATTTGCCATTTGGATTTAATTTAGCTTAATTAAACACTTCTATTAATATCTTTAAAGTCCTTAAAAGCATATCCAACTATAATCCACTATAATTTAAGTCTCTGCTATGGGCTGAATTGTGGCACTTTATAATTCATATGTGGAAGTGCTAAGCCCTAATACTTCAGAATGTGACTGTATTTGGAGATAGGGCTTTTAAAGAGATACAAGGTAAAATGAGGCCAGATGAGTGGGCCCTAATCCAACTGTCTGCTGTCCTTACAAGAAGCGGAGATTAGGACCCAGACACGTGTGTACAGAGGGAAGGCCACGTGAGGACTCAGTCAGAAGGTGGCCATCTGCAGGCCAGGGAGAGGGGCCTCAGAAGAAACCAAACCTGACGAAACCTTGATCTTGGACTTCTAGCCTCAATAACTGAGAAAATAAAAATCCCAGTGTGCGGCATTTGGTTATCACAGACCCAGCAAACTAATAGGTTGCCCTTCCTGTGGGATCCTTCCTTTCTTCTATATTTTGTGCAAGGATTGAAGTAAATTTATTTTGGTTTATAATCTTTCAAAAAGGTTTTTTTCTTGTAACAACTTCTTCACTGATGAAATGTAGCTAAATTAAACAGATTCCTGCACACAGTTGCCGTGTATTCGATTTGCTCATAGTTTGTTGAGGATTTTTGCATCTATGTTCATCAGATACATTGGCCTGTCATTTTCATTTTTTGTGCTGTCCTTGCCAGATTTTGGTATCAGGGTAATGTTGGCCTTGCAAAATGAGTTAGGAAGTATTCCCTCTTCTCCATTTTTTAAAAAAGAGTTTGAGGCTAGATATTAAGCCTTCTTTGAATGTTTGGTAGAATTCACCAGTGAAGCTATCTAGTTCTGGACTTTTATTTTTTGGTTGCTGTTTCAATTTCCTACTGTTGATTGATCTATTTAGGTTTTCCATTTCTTCATGCTTCAGGCTAGGAAAGTTATATATTTATAATAATTTTTCTATTGCTTCCAGGTTATCAAATTTGGTGTCAAATAGCCTTTTATAGTATACTTGTATAACCTTTTGTTTTTCTGTAGTGTCCATTGTAACTTCTGCTCTTTAATTTTTTATTTTATTTATTTGTAGTCTCATTATCTTTGCATGAGACTCCCATAGACACTGAATCACATGGTGCCCAGTGGTAGTTTGTACAAACTTAATCCAGGGGCATTTCTAGGCCTCACTTTTCTTATTTCCTAGATCTAGATTTATGACATATGAGTGAAGTAAAGATTTCCTGTCTACTTTCCAAGACAAAAAGAATTCTTAACCCTAACCAGTTTGGCTCAGTGGAATAGAGCGTCGGCCTGTGGACTGAAGGGTCCCAGGTTCGATTCCGGTCAAGGGCATGTACCTTGGTTGTGGGCACATCCCCAGTAGGAGGTGTGCAGGAGGCAGCTGATCAGTGTTTCTAACTCTCTATCCCTCTTCCTTCTTCTCTTTAAAAAGATCAATAAAATATATTTTTTAAAAAAAGAATTCTTAGCTTCTTTTGCATGGAACTCCAATGGAGCTATAAGTTGCATAGTTGGAACTAGATCACTTAATCCATGTACTTTCTCCACAACACAGGGGGAGGAAAGTCAGCAGGTCATCTTCCTCCTCAACCAGTTTGGAAAATATGTGCTCTGAGATACACTATGGGCTTAGGTAACGTGTGTGTGTGTGCGTGTGTATTACGTTGTTTAATTAGCCAACTAGGCTAGAGTAACAAAAATTGTAATGATTGCAAATAGATGAATTTTTTCTAGATACAAAATATAAAAAGTTTGATACTTAATCTGCATGTAAATAAACACTAGGCATAATCATAATTTTGTTCCATGATCATTAGGCACAAATGATGAGAATCGTACAGAAATCACTATAATTAAGTTATATGTTCACTTTCAAAATTAAGTAAAAGTTGGAGGTAAAAATAACAATTGTCATTTTGAGCACCTACGATGTGCCAGGCATTGTTTTAAGCATGTTAATGCATTATTTCCATACAATAATGGACAGTTTAAAAAGGTATGGATAAAAAATCTGAAACTCAGAACTATGAAGATCACAATTGTCTCACTAATTCAGTGAGTGGTTTGAGAAATGAGGGAGGTCATAGAGAAAGAAGAGAAGGTTGACTTCAAAAGTCCAGAATCCAACCCTTGCTGGTTTGGCTCAGTGGATAGAGCATCAGCCTGCAGCAGACTAAAGGGTCCCCAGTTTGATTTCAGTCAAGGACACATGTCCAGGTTGTGGGCTCAGTCCCCAGTAGGGGGCGTGCAGGAGGCAGCCGATCAATGATTCTCATCATTGATGTTTCCATCTCTCCCTCTCCGGTCCTCTCTGAAATCAATAAATATATATATTTTTTAAAAGTCCAGAATTCAGGTGCAAATCTGATCCAGTCTCCAGCAGCTGATGATGTCCATTCAGAGGACTTTCTCTTATATGCCTTGGTTGGATATGAAAAAGTGTAAGTTTTCAAGCATATTGAGGAATGCCACTTTCTATTCCCTCCCCAGCCAAGAAACTTCACTAAACAGATTACTGAGAACGTCTTTTAAAAATATCTTATCACTTTTACCCAGGCAGTGGTGTTCAGAAGCATTTTTGTTTCATTAAAAAATCACCAGAAACTGTAATCTAGTTAGTTACTAAAAACACTTTGCCATTAATGTAGCATTCAACATTTTAATTTTTTTTCCTTTAAAACCCAGTATCTGAGGTTCTAAAATGTAATAGTCCAAGATTAGAAAGTCCCACCTCCCTTTTCTGACTTGACTAATTTTTCTCCTTCTTTGCAGAATGAAGTGTCAGTGGGCTTTCACTGCCATCTTGTGGACAACGTGTAGATGTGCTCTGACTTGAGAAGACGACCTGGCATGGAGAGGAGTGTGATTGATAAGAGTTTTATAGTCGTGGAATTAATCGGAAAGGAATGCATGGAAACATAAAAACTAAATGGGTAAAGAATACACACCTTTCAAATGCCCCCTTTCAGAGAGCACATACTCTTAGCTGTCCTGTAATCCCATCCCCCTGATGTCTCCTCCCATCTTCCTGTAATCTTTTTTTTTTATCATGTAATCTTTCTTATAGTCCCTCCTTAATCTCAAATGCAAGAGGCAGCCAATCAATGAATTTCTCTCATCATTGATGTTTCTATCTCTCCCCCTCCCCCTTCTTCTCTGAAATAAAATATATATATATATATATATTTTTAATATATTTTTATTGATTTTTTACAGAGAGCAATGGAGAGGAATAGAGAGTTAGAAATATCGATGAGAGAGAAACATCGATCAGCTGCCTCCTGCACACTCCCTACTGGGAATGTGACCACAACCAAGGTACATGTCCTTGACCAGAATCGAACCTGGGACCCTTGAGTCCGCAGGCCAGTGCTCTATGCACTGAGCCAAACTGGTTATGGCAAAAAAATATATATTTTTTAAAAAGAAGTAAAAGTCCACACGGTTCTAGAATAGTAGCTAACAACTGGCAATAAGCAGCAGAGTAGATCAGAAAATTCAGTTTGTTTGTTAATTTCCTTTGTCATTTTTCCATTAGTAAAGCAAATGAGACATTAAATTAGCTTATTAGGGCACACACAGCTTGCTCAAAATCATCTTCTTCTATAATAAGTACATAAAAAGTGGTATGAGACATGCTACCATAAATGAGATTAATTTTTTTTCCTACCAAAACATATTTAGCTACATAAATAAATGATGCCTTTCAGAGCAGTCAGTTTGGGTGATGATATGCTGCTAGTACACAAAACATACTAGAAATCATAAGCTTCCATTAGTCCCCAGCCCCAGTGCCTTAACCTGCTGGCTAACCTTTATCCACTGGAAAGCTACCATTGAGCAAGATGGGACCTTCCAAAGGAGAATGGACCATAAGTGGTCATATCTGATGTGATTAGGGATGAGTTCTAGGCCCTTCCTGTCTGCCAAGTCACATCAAATCTGACCCCACCTACCTATATTGTATTTGGTGACTATTAAGTTTAGGGCCAGTCCTAGTTGTGTAGGACCCATGCCCCCTCCCACTGACAGGTTGTTCTCCTTTTAAACTCTGACCTGGGTGGCTCAGTATAGTAGATAATGTATTAGGGCCACTACTCCCTGACCCCCATACTTACAGGGATAACTTTTAGCCAAGTTTTCGCTGCATAACCCTACAGTTGATTGAACTAGGAGTAGGCACTGGATACAAGCTGGGTAAATCAGTCACTTCACTCTTTCTCTCTTATTTTCATTTATTTTATTATTTTTTTATTTATTTATTTTAAAAAATTGATTTTAGAGAGAGGAAAGGAGAGGGACAGTGAGGGAGAAACGTCGGTTCGCTGCCTCCTGTATGTGCCCCGACTAGGGATGGAATCCACAGCCTGGATATGTGCCCTGATTGGGAACTGAACCTGCCACCTTTTGGTGCATGGGACAATGCTTCCACCAACTGAACCACACTGCCCAAAGCTTTACTAAATAATCTAATTTCAGAGAACCAAGATGGCAGCGTCGTAAGGTACAAACCTGTGAGTGCTGCCTCCCACAACAACATTGAAAATACCAACTATAAGACAAAACAGCTATCATTCAGAACCATGGGAAAGCTGGCCCAGTGGAAGTTCTACAACTGGAAGGAAAGAAAGAAGAGCATTGAGACTGAGTAGAATATGCAGAGGTGCCAAGAACAGAGGTATGGAGTCGTGCGCCAGGCGGGCTGCAACTGGATGCGCAGTTTTTTTCAATCGAAAGGGGTTACAAACTCTCAAATCCACTGAGCTTGTTTGGGGCAGGATTCTGAGGTCCCAGACCCCTACGGGGAGAGGCGGGATGGCCTTGCAGCGGGTCAGAAAGCGAGGGCAGCTTTCTCATGGAGAAAGCTGACACTCGCGGACGTGGAGACGCGGAGTCACGGAGAGGCGAGGAGTTGCAGAGACATCATTGCTGTTGGCTCAGCCCTGGTGAGTCCCTGAGACCCCGCCCTACTCAATTTACATCACTGCCCAAGCTGTGCCAGTGGCACAAAAGGAACCACCTGCGCTTTTGCAGCTTAACCCAACACACTGCAGATTTCAACTCCTCGCACCCATAAGGGACACACTCACGAAGCAGAATCAGGTTCGAAGGAAGCCGGAGCCGGACCCAGCTGGGCCGGCAACATGGAACTGCTGTACCAGCAAACGCACAAACAGGTCCACCAGATCCAGTCTCACATGGGACACGGGGAGACAGCAGACAAGCAGTCTGTGCACTTAGTAGAAAACAAAATCCAAGCAAGCATACCAGATATTCAGCCAGCAAAAATGCCTGGAGATTTTGTCCAGCAAGGAGCCGCCCAACAAAAGACAGAATACCAAACTTCGTGTTGACCAGTTAAAGTATGATGTCCAGCACCTGCAGACTGCTCTCAGAAACTTCCAACATCAGTGATATGCAAGGGAGCAGCAGGAGAGACAGTGAGAGGAGCTTCTATCTCACACCTTCACCCCCAACGTGGGATGCAGCGCCCCCTGTGAGGCTGAGACGGCCCCTGTGAGGCTGCAACAGCCCCTGTGAGGCTGAAACAATCCCTGTGAGGCTGAGACGGCCCCTGTGAGGCTGAGATGGTCCCTGTGAGGCTGAGACGGTCCCTGTGAGGCTGAGACGGCCCCTGTGAGGCTGAAACAATCCCTGTGAGGCTGAGACAACCCCTGTGAGGCTGAGACGGCCCCTGTGAGGCTGCAACAGCCCCTGTGAGGCTGAAACAATCCCTGTGAGGCTGAGACGGCCCCTGTGAGGCTGAGACGGTCCCTGTGAGGCTGAGACGGCCCCTGTGAGCCTGAGACGGTCCCTGTGTGGCCGAACACAGGGACACGTCGCAGATGGAAACAGCTATATTTTCCATGTGTATGACCTGGCAACAAAAAGCGTACACTTATGGATGAGGACAGTGGGGGGGGGGTAAGGGCAGAGGGTGGGGTGGGAACTGGGTGGAGGGGAGCTATGGGGGGAAAAAGGGGAACAATAAAGATTTATTTAAAAAATAATCTAATTTCAGTGTAGAATCTTTCTCTCTCTCTCTCTCTCTCTCTCTCTCTCTCTCTCTCTCTCTCTCTCTCTCTCTGTTTTGTTAATCCTCACCCGAGGATATTTTCCCATTGACTTTTTTAGAAAGAGTGGAAAGAAAGGGAAGAGACAGAGAGAAACATCGATGTGAGAGAGTTACATTGATTGGTTGCCTCCCGCATGCACCCTGGCCAGGGCCGGGGAATCAAGCCTGCAACCGAGGTTTGTGTCCTTGACCAGAATCAACCTGGGAACTTTTTACTAGTAGTTAATGGGCAGATGCTCTATCCACTGAGCCAAACCAGCTAGGGCTGTGGAATCTCTTTTGAATGTAGGAGCTGCAAATTCTGGAACTGTAGGAGGCCATCTGCAACCTCAGGGAATTGTTATCAATAGCACTTCCCTCCTCTGCCTTCATTGTTATCAGCGAAGAAAAGAGGGAAAAGAACAGATTTTTGTGGATGACCTGCTGTTCTGCCATACTGCTGGCATTATTGGAATTAATGCTCATAAAGAAGAAAAGGAAAGAAAGAAAAGGATGAAGGAGTCACTGAAAGATCTTGGTGAGTGGGAGGACTGAAGCAAAGAGGAGGTAGAGAGGAGTGAAAGAATTTTCCTGCCAGAGATTGAGTGCCCAAGTCTAACCCATTCCAGAGTTACTACTACTCTGGAGTCCTACTACTTATAGTAAGAATCTCCTCTTTTCTGTTTAAGCCAATTTGGTTCTTGCCACCAAATGAGTTTCAACCAATACCCCCAAGGTCCTTGCATGCCTTCTGACAAAGTTATAAAAGAAAATGTCTTCAGAACCAGTTCATAAGCTAATCACAAAATAAGTTTTACTACACTATAATCACCTTTAATGAGTTTGGTTACCTTTAATATAGCGAATATTCAGGACATTCTTACTCTGTGCAATGCACAGAACTTGCCAACCACAGGAATGCAAAGATTAGTAAGAGGTAATAGTTTCTTTGGGAGAGGAAACAACATACAAAAATAATAATCTATAATAATAAAAAAAGGGTTATATGCTAATTAGACTAGATGTCTTCCGGATGTCCTTCCTGATGAAGCCAGGGCAGAGGGAAGCCAGCCCGGGTCCCAGGTGCCCGCGGGCAGCTGGAGGAGGGAAGCCAGGGTGCCGGGTGCCAGAGGGAAGCTGGTGCAGGCAGCCAGGGGAAGGATGGCCTACTCTTGCACAAATTTTCGTGCATCAGGTCTCTAGTAAGTAATAAATTCCATGACAGAAGTATGAGTAAAGTGGTTTGGAACAGAAAAGAGAGCAATTTCCTTAGATTAAAAGAATAACTTTATCAAATGCTGAAATGCTAATAGCATACTGAGAAAGATGTTATGATCTGGAGATGCCATGCAGTACAAAATATAATCTTCTACTTCAAGGAGTTTAGGTTTTATCACAAGGGTAAGTGCAAGTGCAAGTGCATTTGGCAGTCAAAGGAGCACCTCACCATGTACTGGGGGCAGGGGTGGAAGAGGGGCAGATCTGAGAAGGCATCCAGAAGGGGAGACAGCTAAATCAAAATTGAAAGGTATAAAGGTTAAATAGGATTACATGAAGACAAGCTGGAAGATAAATATCTCATAGAGGAAGCAGCAAATATAGAAAACTGGTACCAAGACAGATCTCTTAGCATCATTCAACCTAGCGCTTCGATTCCGTTACTCCACTCTCTGTTTTTCCTCTTACCTCTTTGGCTCCTTCTATCTATCTCCTTGGTCCTGAATTCCATTCCCTTCTCTTTCCTCACTCCCTTGCTAGGAGTGTTTTAACTGACAAGTACATATCGCGAGACCTGAGCTGTGGTCAGTGAGCCCTCTTGACCAGTGGGTGCCCTCTATCCATTTCTCTGTCGCCCAGCAGTGGGCTGCTGTGGCGTGTGTCCTCGGCTGGTCACGTTTTCACCAGCAGACTGCAGGGTCCAGTGGCAGCCACGCCTCTCCTTGGAGGTCTGACAATCTTCTTGGTGGGGAGATGCTTCCTCTGAATTTCAAAATTTCCTTCCTTGTTTATTCTCTCTTGGCTTTAGAGGTGGCAGTGGCCATTCGCACTTGCTATTTCTGTACCTCTCAGAATCCTCTTTTATCTCATTTACTGGTTCACCACATTTTTGTACTTAGTAATAGTTTATATTACTCTTTTCTGTTTAAATAAACTGGTGTGGTTTTTGTTTCGATTGGAACTTGGTTGATATAATGAAGCAGAGGGAGGAGATGGAATGACTACAAATCACAATATAAAATAATTAAGTAATTTGACTTTGTGAAAATTAGACTCCTTTTCTTTGAAAGTTATCATTCAGAAAATGAAAAGGCAAGCCAGTCGAGTAGAAAATATTTGCAATTCATACACCTGACAAAGGACTTGCATACAGAATACATAAACTATCTCAAAAACAACAAGATTTTCTTAATCTGCTGAAGCTGCCATAACAAAATACTACAGAATTGGAGACTAATACACCAGAAATTATTTTTCTCACAGTTCTGGAGACTAGAAGTTCAAGATCAAGATGTTGGCAAATTTGGTTTCTTTACAGGCTTCTCTCTTTGGCTTGCAGATGGTGTCTTCTTTCTGTGTCCTCTTGTGGTCTCTCCTCTGTGTACATGTCTGTGTCTAAAATCCTTTTTATAAGGACCATGGAGACACCTGCAGATAGGATGGTCAAACCATTCTGTCAATTGCAATAGTTTCCCTCCTTCTATTACAATAATCCTGTTAAGTAAAGTCTCTCCTTACCCATGTCTAGATTTGTGGTTTTTTTAAAATATATTTTCACTAGAGGCCCGGTGCACAGATTCATGCACCAGTGGGGTCCCTCGGCCTGGCTTGTGGGGATCAGGCCAAAACTGGCTCTCCAACATCCCTGGAGGGGTTCCGGATTGCGAGAGGGCGGTTCTTGGGTGATGCACCCCGGAATCGGGCTCCCTCCTCTCTGGTTCCCGGTGTGTCACCGGAGAACTACAACTGCCACATTACTACAACTCAGCAGCTCCTGTGTTGAGAGTCTGCCTCCTGGTGGTCAGTGTGTGTCATAGCTATGAGTCAGAGTGTCTGCCCTTGGTGGTCATTGTGTGTCATGGCTACTGGTTAGACGGTCGGACGGTCACTTAGGCTCTTATATATATAGATTGATTTCAGAGAGGAAGAGAGAGAGGGAGAGAGAGAGAAACATCAATGATGAGAGAGAATCATTGATCGGCTGCCTCCTGCATGCCCCACACCAAGGATCGAGCCTGCAACCCAGGCCTGTCCCCTGACCGGGAACCGAACCATGATTTCCTGGCTTATAGGTCAATGCTCAACCACTGAGCCATGCCGGCTGGGCCAGATTTGTTTTTATTTGACATTTCCTTCCTACCTACCATACACTCAGTGGTGGGGCAATGTAGTAGGACCTAAGCAGGTAAATAACCAATTAAAGCTACCAAGGAATGTATTATGTAGGGCCTGCTACATAATTTTGGGGACTCAATGCAAAATAAATATGCAAACTACCTGGTTCAAAATAGCAGGGGAAAAGTGCTATTAAAGCCCTGGCCAGTGTGGCTCCATTGGTTGGACATCATCCCATGCACCAAGGGGTTGCTGGTTCAATTCCCGGTCAAGGCACATGCCCAGGTTGCAGGCTTGATCCTGGGTCTGGAGTCTGGGGCGTGCAGCCAATCATCGACGTTTCACTCTCACATCAATGTTTCTCTCTCTCTTTCCCTTTCCCTTCCCCTCTCTCTAAAAAATCAATAAAAGATTTAAAAAAATAAGTAAGTAAAAAAAAATAAGTAAGTAAATAAATAAGTCTATTAAAATGTTTCCCATTTTCTTCCATGGTCTCTTTCAACTTGTTGTAGTGTATTTTACTTTTTATTTAATGTCATTTGAAATAAAGAAAAAAATTTACTTATTAGCATAAATTTTACCATTTATCTTTATATTGTACAATACTGGTTTAAATGAAATATAAAGATCATTTAACTGTGGAATCACCAGAATTGCACAATTTGTATTTTTTAGCTCATACATACATATGCATTTTATTCATTTTTTAAACATTATTTTTATTGTTGACACTATTGCATATGTCCTGCCCTTTGCCTACCCCAACCCATCCCCACACCCCTCTTTCCTCTGGCCATCAGCACACTGTTGTTGGGGTCTAATGGCATATGCATTCATTCTTTTTTAAAAAATATATATATTTTATTGATTTTTTACAGAGAGAAAGGGAGAGAGATAGAGAATTAGAAACATCAATCAGCTGCCTCCTGCACACCTCCACTGGGGATATGCCCGCAACCAAGGTACATGCCCTTGACTGGAATCGAACCTGGGACTCTTCAGTCCACAGGCTGATGCTCTATCCACTGAGCCAAACCGGTTAGGGCTATGCATTCATTCTTTTTTTTTTTTTTAAAAAAAATATTTTTATTGATTTCAGAGAGGAAGGGAGAGGGAGAGAGAGAAATATCAATGATGAAAGAGAATAATTGATCGGCTGCCTCCTGCACGCCCCCCCACTGGGGATCGAGCCCCCATCCCGGACATGTGCCCTTGACTGGAATTGAACCTGGGACCCTTGAGTCCACAGGTCGATGCTCTATCCACTGAGCCAAACCAGCTAGGGCCATTCGTTCTTAATAAAAGAGTGAAAATGCTGCACAAAACTAACGCAACTTTTTTCAACTTTGTTTTCCACTATGTATATGCACAACCTTAGCAATACTCTCTGCTATCAGCTTCCTGACAAAGAAAGATGGGCCAAGAAGAAAAGGAACTGCGTCCCCATATATTTCCCCCTACTTCTGTGTCACTATTTTCAGGGTTAAGTGACCGCCTAATACCAGGAAGCTCCAGGAACAAGAAAGGAAATGGTAGGGTTCCTTGGTTGTTCCTTAGAGTGCCATTGCCTTCTTTCTTCATTCTGCATTCAAAGCAAATTCTTGTTTGAGTGAAAAGTGTGGCTTCTTGGAACTGTCAGCACCTCCCTCCACCCAATCAGAACATAAAATGCTTGCCTTGCACAGGCTTGAGTCTCACTGGCCCTCCATCTCCTCCAGATTGCCCCACCCAAGTACAAGCTGCCATCTTCCGTCACTTGGATTACCAAAATAATCTACTGACTAGTCTATCTGCAGCCATCCTACACACTGCCCCTCCTTAACCCAATTAAACTCCATTCAGCCTTCTGATGACAGTTCAAATATCCTTTCCTCAAGGAAGCCAACTTTTACCTCTGACAATTTCAAATCTTCTAATTATTCTTTCATAGAACCATTTACGTCTCCTTGCAGCACTCATAAGAGATGCAATTTTTATTTATTTTTGTGATTACTTGATTTTTATCTATGTTTTCTAGTATATAAATAAAAAAAGAAGAAACCACTTCTCTACATCTTTGTTTTCATAATACTTATTGAAGGTAGTGATTGATCTTTTATTCATGAGATTACCTGAATAATGTGTCTTCCACACAGATCATGTCTGTTTATCATTATCCTCTCCCCCTCCACCAGCATCTAGAGCAGTGGTTCTCAACCTTCCTAATGCCGCAACCCTTTAATACAGTTCCTCATGTTGTGGTGACCCCCAACCATAAAATTGTTTTCATTGCTACTTCATAACTGTAATTTTGCTACTGTTATGAATCATAATGTAAATATCTGATATGCAGGATGTATTTTCATTGTTACAAATTGAACATAATTAAAGCATAGTGATTAATCACAAAAACAATATGTAATTATATATGTGTTTTCCGATGGTCCTAGGTGACCCCTATGAAAGGGTCGTTCTACCCGCAAAGGGGTCGCGACCTACAGGTTGAGAACCGCTGACCTAGAAGCTTTCCCTATACATACCAAGGAGCTCAACAAATAATAATTGAATGAATGATGGCAAACTTGATCAGACTTTTCCTTTTAAGTGCCAAAGAAGTGCTGATTTCAATGAGCACTCAAGTAACATTGCAAATAAACATATTGTCCTGATGTCTAAACACTCCCTCCTTTTTTCTTTGTTTGCAGTTCTACCTTAATCTCTTCCAAAATGTGGGATGGATATAATCCTCTGGTCCTTTGAGGTGAGAAGTTTGAAGGATTCACATTATCTTGCTTTATCATGCTTATCAGTTTATCTTTCTTCAAATTCTCTCACCTCTGGGCTCCTGGCTTTTCTGTCTGTCACTGATATCCCCTCCTTTTCTCTTTAGGCTGGTCTCAGTGGGTTTCCAACATCTGTTTTGGTTTAGAGGGACTCTTGCCTGGAAGTAGTTCTTCCCAGGCCATTATTTTAATTTCTAGTAAAAGCAAATGAATGAATATATAGAAAGAAACGACATTTCACAAGGAAGTTGCCCAGGAAGTGGGCTGTTGCTGTTAAAAAAAAAAAGGCATTTGCCTGTTATTTTGTCCCAGAATTCTGATCATTCCTGCCCAGTCAGGACTTCCCATGACATTGTCTGCTTTGCTGTTCCATCCTCTGTGGACCGTGTGGGTTACAATATGTATATTGGCACTTGTTATACTGCAAGTGCAAACAGCTGGCTCTCTTGCTGTTCATTCCAGTGCCAAGATATTATTCCTCATAAGGCCTTTTAACTGCTTTTGCAGTTAGTAGCATCAGTGACTAGGAAATCAAACATTTTATCTAGTGGTTTGTTAACTTAAGGCTATTTTCCAGATGTTTTCTAGAGCAGTTCCTCTGATGCTGATTTGTGGCGGCGTTGATATTTTCTTTCTATAGCATTTTATTATTTTTGAGCAGTGAAATTTAATTTAGTTAGGGGAAATGTCTTTTCCAAACTCTCTGTTTCTGATGACACACAGTTATTTTGTGCCTGGTGTTAATCCCACAAACTACAGGACTTGGCCCGATTATAGACATGACTAGACAGTAGAAACTTTAGAAGAACCACTGTGCCAGACTTCCACGTCTATCACGGCTACCAGATACGCTCATAGATTACAGGCCCAGGGAATTTTAGGGCCAGGCGGGATTTTTTACTCAGCTACCCTCTTTAGTCATAAAGCATAGCTGGAACTCATAGATGCTAAGTGATTTGTACCCTGGGCCACCCATCTAGTTGCTAGTAAGAACAGAACCAGAACCCAGGTCTCCTAGATACAGAGGAAAGGAAACCTTTGTTCTATGCCTCTCACCTGAGCACGCATGTGGCTTCACTTCCCCATCAGTCGCCCAAGGATGCCATCATTGGCAAAGAAGTCTCTTGCCAGCCTTTTGAAGAGGCAGGACAAGCTCCTGTGCCCATGTTCAGGAGCGAGCATGCTTTCCCTGTGGCCAGCCCTCCCTTCTTGCAGCCTTGCACAGAGTTACCTCACAGTGGAATGACTCCTGTGCACAGTCATTTTGCCAGGAACCATTTTTTATTTATCAACTCTCAATCCCTTTTTTCCTCCACAAACTCTCTCCTACCACACAAACCTGTCTAGGGCCTCTCATAGCTTTGTGACCATCTGCTTCTCCATCTACAAGTTCAGTACGCTGTTAGGCTGAAAAGTGTTGGGGGTTTGACAGTGGTTTATAAATTAACCCAGGGTGGATGTTACTGACAACAGGAAATAGATATGGAAAACACCAATACCAAAAAAAAAAAAAGGTATTCTTTAAAAATGAAATATGACAGCATATAATCCAAACCCTCAAAACTTACCAGAAATTCTCATAAAACTGTAGGTAGGCTTACATTATATTACACAAGTTTTAAACTCTGGATCTGGGCCGAAAACATCACCTGCTTTTTAAGTCTTCAAATAGACAGTAAAGACCAGCAAAACACTTTAAGATTTTGCTGTAATCTACAGCCTGTCAACTTGGCGGTAACTGGTAAAGTCATTTGTGGTCTCTTTTTGTCTGTGTTAATTAGTGATAGTTCTCTGCAGCCAGCCTTACAGGAGAGGCGGAAACACAGCTGCCGCGCTGTAAACCACGGAGTGAAGTCAGCAGCATCCAGGGAAGAACGAGAAGGCCCAGGCCCGCTTGCTTTCCCCATTGGAGTCTCTCCCCGGGGCTCACTGGTGATTCATGCACCGAGGGCAGTGGACTTGGGACCCAAAGGCACAGCAGGCAGAGAGGAGCCCCAGCTTGCTGTGGGAATTGGACCAGAGGAGTCAACAATGGGCACAGGAGGCCTGGAACATGAGCTTCAGAGTCTGAGTTAAAACTTGAGTCCTGACTTCCGAGTTGGGGAGTGTGAGCTGTCTGTGACAGAGGTCACCACCCTTTTTTATTTTTCCCTTTTCTTTTTTTTAAAAAAAATTTTAAGAACGCTTCATGAATTTGTGTGTCATCCTTGCGCAGGGGCCATGCCAATCTTTGTATCGTTCCCGTTTTAGTCTGTGTGCTGCCGAAGCGAGCACCTTTCAGAAGACAATGCCTGTGGATTGTAGACCTGGTAAATCACACGTGTGGGCATTATTCTCTGTGCCTCCCCACTCAACCCCAAACCACTGGCACTTTTATTCAGATAAAATTCCGTTAAAACAAATATCAAGTAATGACTTTATCAAGAGAACCAACACCAGGACTTTTAATTAGTAAAACTTGTGTGTGTGTTGGCACAAAACTGGGGAAAAATGAGAGTGATAATGTCATGAAAAGGCACTTTTTAGCCTGAGAGGGGTCATTGCCAACCCATTTATACTTCCCTCTTTTGTTACTTAGTGATTCTGGAAAAAATACAGGGGAGACCTTAGTAACACTCCTCCCGCGTCTCTCTCCCCCATTGTGTTCTGTCTCCCTCTAGTCTTGGGTCTGGATTACTGTTAATAGTGTCCCAATTTGCCTTTATGCCTCCATTTATCCAGCACATCCTTGTCAGAGTACTCTCCCCAGAACATCAGACTGATGGTGCTAATTGTTTAGTCATCAGTGTTCGGTCACATTTATTGAAATTTCCTCCTCCCTTAGTTCAGCATTCGACACCATCTAGAACAGCGGTTCTCAACCTTCCTAATGCCGAGACCCTTTAATACAGTTCCTCATGTTGTGGTGACCCCCAACCATAAAATTATTTTCGTTGCTACTTCATAACTGTAATTTTGCTACTGTTATGAATCATAATGTAAATATCTGACATGCAGGATGTATTTTCATGGTTACAAATTGAACATAATTAAAGCATAATGATTAATCACAAAAACAATATGTAATTATATATGTGTTTTCCGATGGTCTTAGGTGACCCCTATGAAAGGGCTGTTCGACCCCCAAAGGGGTCACGACCCACAGGTTGAGAACCGCTGATCTAGAATCTCCTCTAGTCTAGGTTTCCCACTGGTCTCCCTTCATGCACATTCTCTTTTTGTTAAATGGGACTCACAGCTGCCCCAACACCCCTCAAGTGCTTCTGTCTCCAGCTGTTCCATAGCTGCTTGTCCTTGCTGTTCACCCAGTGCCAAAATATTATTCCTCATAAGACCTTTTAACAACAATGTCACAAATCTAAGTCGTTCCCATCTTTCACGGCCCACTTTAAAAGCTGCCTTATCTATGAAATCTTCCCCGAACACCCCCCTGGAATTGTTACCTGCCACCTCTGTTTTTCCACAGCAAGTTGTGTTTTGCTGTTCCTCCCGATACCTACCACTTTCTACCTTTTGTCATTCTTACTTGTGCACCTGAAATGAGTGCTTAAATGCTCTGGGTCAGCCAGCCTGGGTTTTAATCTCAGGGCTGGTCATTAATGTGATCTTATGATTAACCTTTTTAAGTCTTGGAATCTTCCTTGTAAATAGATAACTGTAACACATAGGTTTTTCTGATGAAGGTTAAGTGAGACAATGAATGCAATACACACAACTCTGTGCTTCACACACAGTAAATGGTCAAAAAAAGTTATTGTGTTTATTATTTTAATTATCTTTCTAGACTCTAACTTATTTGAGGGTTAAATCTCTCTATATAGCAAACATCAGCAAACTTTTTTGGTAAAAGGCCAGCCAATATGTTAGGTTTGCCAGGCAGCATATATCTCTGTCACATATTGTGAAATAACCGAAAAAAAAAATATATATATTGGCTTTTGCCTCCCCCTCCCCTCCCCAATCTGGTTCCTGGCACAGAGTTCCTAAAACCCTTGTAAATTCCTGGGTGATAGGAGCATCTCTTGTTCTAATGAGGCAACTCTGGGTGGGCTCCTGGATGGGGGCTGGTCACCAGGAAGACTAAGCCATGATTAGAAGCTTGGAATTTTCTGCTTCTCCCCCATCCTCCACAGAGGGGAAAGGGGATGGAAATGGACTTAGGTAATGATGGATCGTGCTTATGTGATAAAGCCTCCATCAAAATCTCCAAACTATAGGGTTTGGAGAGCTCTTAGGCTGGTGTATCATCAGACAATGATACACCCAACTTCATGCTGACAGACGCTCCTGCACTTGGGACCTCCCAGACCTGGCCCTACGTCTCTCTTCATCTGGCTGTTCATCTATATTCTTTATATCCTTTAATAAGCTGGTAAATGTAGTGGATGTTTTCCTGAGTTCTGTGAGCCACTCTAACAAATTAATCAAACCTGAGGAAGGGATTGTGGAGATTTTTGATTTGTAGCCAAGTTGGATAAAGATTGTGGGTAACCTGGAGACACACTGCTTGTGATTGGCATTCAGAGTGAATGGGGCAAGTCTCATGGCCTGAGCCCCTAACCCGTGGAATCTGCAGCTCTCTCTGGGCAGAGTGTTAGAATTGAGTTAAATTGTAGGACACCCAGCCATTTCTCTGCAGAGAATTTTGGTTTGGAGTGTCATGAGTGTAGCAATAGTGTGAATATAAAGGGGACTCAGAGAAGGCAAGCATTGAGATTTTTCAAATACTGATTTTCTTCTTTTGTTTTGCTTAATAAGCTCTGAAAATGTTAAGATTCATCCGTAGCTTACAGGCCATGCCTAAAAAGCCACAGGCTGGCTATAGTTTGCAGGCCCCTGCTAGGTAGTCCACAGTGCCCAATGCGGTGCTTCATGGATACATAAGTTAACTGGGAAGTGTTGTGTGATTAGCTAAGTGAGTGAATACGCGATTGATCGCTATTGAGTGCCTCTGTTCTTTTTTACCGTTTGCTAATGACTCCAGTTTGTGCCTTTTCCTCCTGCATCATTCAAAGTCTGGAATATTTGCAGTGTGCCTGATCCTAGAACAAGCAGAATGAAGCCTCCTAGCATGGAGCCAGTGGTGGGTTGCCCCTTTCCACAGCTGTGCCTCTCTGGGTTGGGAAATCGTCTCTAATCCAGCCCAGCAGGGGAGCTGTACACAGTCAGTGAGGTTAAGGAATTCCAGTGAAGAAAGTGGTGAGAGTTTTAGAACAGTACTAAGCACTGTATTGTTGTATTGAGAAGGGAACTATTAATGTTTCTCCATGAATGTGTAAGATCCACTCTCCCGCGCTGGTTTTGACTGAATGTCCAAAAGATCCTACCTTACTGTGGAAAAAAAATAGAATGGTGGTATTAGCATAGCTCTTTCCCCTTACCAACTGTATTTACAGATCCATTCCTGGGACAGTATACATTAATCCCCCCCCCCCTTTGTGCCTTGGTTTATCGCAACAGTATCCATGTTCTCTATTAGGCATCTTTCCATAGATATACAAGAATGAAATTGAGAATGAATAACTTAACTTGAGAATTTTTTATTATTGGCAATTCAGACATTGACTCTGCTTTCCTTAAAATGTCTATTTTAGTAAATAACTAATATGGCATCTAAATTTGAAGCACAGATTATATATTTGCACTTATTTTAAATACTCCTCACTTTACTCAATCATTGAGGCTGATTATCATTCTTTATATTAGGAGAACTACATAAATGCACGTGTTTACTCACCAGAGTAATATTAAGAAATATAAGCATCAACAATAGCCATACAATTTCCATTTCTTAAAACAAGACAATTTCGCCCTAGCCGGTTTGGCTCGGTGGATAGAGCGTCAGCCTGCGGACTGAAAGGTCCCAGGTTCGATTCCAGTCAAGGGCATGTACCTTGGTTGCGGGCATATCCCCAGTGGGGGGTGTGCAGGAGGCAGCTGATCGATGTTTCTCTCTCATCGATGTTTCTAACTCTCATCTCTCTCCCTTCCTCTCTGTAAAAAATCAATAAGATATATTTAAAAAAAAACCAAAAAACAAAACAAAACAAGACAATTTCACTTTTTGTCCACTAGGTGTTGCTGCTGTACACTGAATGATACAAGAATTCCACCCACAACTTCATTATCATAATTGTTTAAGCAATTATTATTAGAAATTTAAAAAATAAGTGATACATAACTTATTTATATATGATTTTGAAGGCACCGTCATTTGCAACTTTTGTTTCATATATGGGAAAAAATGTCTTAGGAGAAAAGCTAAAAAAAAAATCAATATGATTTTTTAGTAAAACAACCAAAAGAAATATATAAAAATAGAATATTTAAGGAATGCAAAAAAAATCAGAGATAAAGTACACACATAGACACTTGACAATGCTATCCTTTTAACAGTATTTTAAAACTTCTGGTTAATACAACAATTATTAACCTGGTTATTTGATAAAATTCTGTAACAAGCTAAGTTTTGAAAGAAAGGACAAAAAAACTTAATTTTGATTCTGGTTCAAAATTCAAGTCCTATCTATAATAATAAAAGTGTAATATGTTAATTAGACTGGACGTCCTTCGGGACGTCTTTCTGGATGATCTTCCAGATGAAGCCACGGTGGCAGGGGCTGAGGCAGAGGCCGCCTGGCGGTGGGGGCCGAGCCCTTTGCAGGAATTTGGTGCATCGGGCCTCTAGTTCATTATATTTACAGAAAAGCGATACTTGCCAAATAGCCAGCGTGAGCTGTAAATTTTATGAAGCATGCTTTCATTTACCTTCTGGGATTGACAGTTCAGTGGTGTTGTGGGTTATGACAATACCTAAGACTAACTCAAGAAGGCTGGGAGGCAGTAAGATCTTGACTTTTATGAGTACAGTCACTACAGTGGTACAGAAGGTAAAGTTGACACAATGTGGAATATATCTCTTTTAACAGTCGTTTTCATTTTTTGCAACCTGTGGGGAAAGAGCTATCCAGACTGCAGACTGTGCACCTTCCCCCTCCCGGCAGCGAAGCTCACAATGAGAGCATTACTGCTGCTCTGGTACTTCCCTCTTATGGAACAAATTTGCAAGGTCTGTGGCAGTGATTCATGGTTCAGGAAAGACACACCTCCAGAAGCAAAGATGAAGAAAGAAGGATATTATATGTTTAGTCTTTGCTATTTTTATCCTTCTGGTTTTTAGTTAAATTGTAACTTACAATCGTTTGGTTATGGTGATGTGACCCATGAATTCACCAAACAGAAGCTCCATTTGAGTCAAAGGAGCTTAAAAGAAC